GTGGCAGCGGCCCTTCCACTTTCCACCCACAGGAGACCATGTTGTCTACGGATGGGCAAAAGCAAGGGTATTCTAACCCAGCCGCCCCTTTCTCAAATAGGACCAGGGTAGAGGGTGGAGGAGGGTGGGCCATCCCGAGCCTTGTTGCAGTGCCCAGGTTTGCACATTGCTGTGACCATGCGTGTTGTCTGCTTAAACAGTGTCCTCCCTTCTTTGAGGGCACTGCTCCTCTCCCTTCCCCAAGCTCCCACCAGCCATGTGGGTTCGGCTATGAGGTGACAAGCCCAGATATCTGTATGTCCTCATCCTAGCCAGAGGTGGGCCTGAGGTCCAGGCTGGGCCATTTGTAGTACTTCCTTATCTGAAGGGTCCAGGGGTGGGCACGTGACCTAAGCCAGGCCAATGAGAATCCTTCCCCGGGATCTTTCCGAAACCGTCTCTTGAGTCCTTTAGTTGGAAGATGTGTGCTTAAGCCGAGCAGGAGAATGGCTCTCATTGTGCAGGAAAACCCGTGGAAGGAGAGAATAAACAGAAGGAAACAGGTACAGAAGTTAACAGACAAGAGTCCTGACGGTTTTGAGGCTCTAATTGCAGTCAGCTCCACAGCTGCCTTCCACCGCTGGCGTGCTGCCATTTGGTTTTGTGACCCACACTTGCAGCCAAGAGCCTTGGCTAATAACACTAGGATAATTCTAGAGCTACCCCAGCTGACAGCGCTCACTCATTTGGATGTGGACGATTCAGAGCGTGATTTGCCCAAGTCCCTTGATTTCTTCCCTCTAGGCCCTTCCAGGGAAAGCCAAGGGAGCCCCACTTAGTCCTTGGGTAGCTGCAGCGGGCAGACCCTCAGGTAGCGGTTGGGGAACAGCACCCGCTCCGATGCCATGGCCTTTTCTAGCTATGAAGTACATGCGTCTTGGCCTCTGACTTCTTTCAGTTTTGTTCTGAATACACTCAGCGCTGCGAATGTTCTCTTGCTTGTCTTTTAGGTAACTCCAGGCAGGCTAGATTCCTAGGCATGTGACCTGTGCATTCGCACAGGGCCCTACGCTTAGAAGGAACCCGTGTTTGGTTTCATACTCTGCTGGCATCTTGAAATTGTTACACATTTTGAACAGGGAGCCTTGCGTTTTGATTTTGCACAGAGTCCCACAGATTATGTTGCTGGTCCTGGCTCTGTACAATCCTTCCTGGTAGGCTCTGTGATGCCAAAGAATTGCTCCAGTTCCCAGAACCCCTCTCTCAATTGCCCCGATCTTGTGTCTTCTTTACCTTAATGCCTCCCTCCCCCAACCCCTGACTTCTATGGTCTTCACCCCACCCCACCCCATACGTGGACTTTTTCTCCAGAAGCCGGAGCCTCTGTGGCCTCATCTCATGCCAGCTGCAGTTGGGGCACAGCTCCTCAGCTGAGCTCAATGTCAAACCAAAGCTGGATCCAAAGCTGCACCCATTTTATGTGGAAGAATGCCAACTAGAGTGGCTTGTCTTGCTTCTACCCTTCAACCCCTGACAGTCTGCAGTTCTGCCCCAATCCCCCTTCCAGAGGCCTCTGGGAAGCTGCCCCAGGGCAAACCCAGGACAGCAGGAGCCTCAGGTTTGATCGGCCAAGGACAGCTCTGCAGCAGGTTTAAACTAGAAGAGCGGCTTCTATAAGAAGGCTTCATAGTTGTAAAGAGGATTTTTGAAGTCTAGGAAATGGGCAAGCATGTGTCCTTGGGAACAGCCTGCTGCACATCCAGCAAAGGGAGGTCCTCGCTGTGGCCTCACTGCTTCTCCTGGAAAAGGTGGATTTGAGCCCCTAACATCCCCCCAGGTGAAACAGCATGGGCCTGAAACTGCTGAGACCAGCTACAGCCTCAGTCTTCTTCACACCCACTTTGTGTTTGGTTTTTTGTTTTTGGATTTTGGTTTTTCTTTTGAGACAGCGTCTCACTCTGTTTCCCAGGCTGGAGTGCAGTAGCGCAATCTCAGCTCACTACAACCTCTACCTCCCAGGTTCAAGCAATTCTCCTCCCTCAGCCTCCCGAGGAGCTGGGATTACAGGTGTGCGCCACCATACCCAGCTAATTTTTGTGTTTTTAGAAGAGACAGGGTCTTACCATGTTGACCAAGCTGGTCTCAAACTCCTGACCTCATGAAACCAGCCAAAATGCTGGGATTGCAGACATGAGCCACCGCGCCCGGCTTACACCCACAATTTTTAACAGGACAGACCAATCTAGAGGGAAAGCCAGTAGGAGAAGCTAATAGACAATTGACAATAAAGAATCCAGCTGTGGTAAAACTGATTTATTTTTGAAGCACAGTAACAGCTATGCAACTAGGAACATTTTATTGACCTGTCCCATCTGTTTTTGTGTCACAAAGACATATACTAAGACTTTGGAAAAATTCCAAAGGGGATTACACTTGAAACATGCTGCGTTTTCACTTTTTTGTGTGTACTTGTTTTATTCAGAGTGAACCAAATAAAATAGCTTTACAGCTTACTAAAACTCAAACTTATTCTCAAAGGAAGCAGTTTAAACATTTTCAACTGAAAATCAGCAACACAATGATTCTACATCAGGAGACTGAGCCAGGGAGACAAAAAGCAGCTCTAATAGAAAGCGTGTCTTGTCAAAAAGTTAAAAATAAAAATAAAGGCCCCATGCCGTGGCTCATGCCTGTAATCCCAACGCTTTGGGTCTCTACAAAAAAATTGAAAAAATCAGCGGGATGTGGTGGTGCACCTGTAGTCCCAGCTACTCAGAAGGCTGAGGCACAAGGATTGCTTGAGCTCGGGAAGTCAAAGCTGCAGTGAGCCCTGATGGCGCACTACTGCACTTCAGCCTGGGTGACAGAGCAGAACCCTGTCTCAAAAAAATAAAATTGAAATTAAAAAAAAAAAAAAACCACACACATCATGAGGAAAATCCAACTTATTTACAAAGAGTGGACCATCTTCAGGACTGAGATTCCAATATGATATGGTAAAATTGTGGGTGCACCATCCTCTTTGGAAAAAAGGGAGTGAGGAACAGATCTGGCTCAAGCCATGCTCAGAATCTGGTTTAAAATGATCAAAGGAGTCTCAGAAAAACTTGACATCAGTGTATTCCGCAGGGGTGTCATTTAGCATGAATGAAAGGGCTAGGAACGCACTTTCCCTGTGGTGTCCCCCAGGCCTGCCAACATCTCATGAAATCTGGTAATAAACTGGCAAGAGTTTCCTCTGCACCAACAGGCTGCAGGAATCTTGTGGGGCTGGGGGCTGGTTTTCCCCTGGGAAGTGCCTCATGCTTACCCCGAAACTGCCAAGCTACCAAGCCCTCTAGTGAACAAATGAGCCATAGTCTGGCTGGCATAGGGCTGGCATGGGGCTGGTATGGCCAGAATGGGTGGATGCTGCCAGGAGCGGCCAGGGCCCCCTGAGGATTTGGGGATTGACACTCTGGCAGCACCATCTCACTTCTTAGCCATTGCAAAAGGGTAGGCCCCTTCTCCTCAAACTCAGAGCAGGAGCTAACTGAAAGAAATGGCACCAGAAAGATGGCAGTAAACTCTATGACTGGGCTCATGTCAGCTTTCTGCTGACCTGTAGATTTCAGAGCAAAAGTCCTGACTCACCCAAACCCAGTTAAGCTGTGAAGTGTGGCTCTCATGCTTGCAGTCCCAGTTATTCAGGAGGCTGAGGCAGGAGGGTTGCTTGAGTCCAGGAGTTTGAGACTGCAGTGAGCTATGATCATACCACTGTACTCAAGAGTGAGACTCTTTTTTTTTTTTTTTTTTTTTTGACAGTCTCACTCTGTTGCCCAGGCTGGAGTGCAGCGGGATGACCTCAACTCACTGCAACCTCTGCCTCCTGGGTTAAGAGATTCTCCCATGTCAGCCTCGTGAGTAGCTGGGACTACAGGCACATGCCACCATGCCTGGCTAATTTTTTGTATTTTTAGTAGAGACAGGGTTTCACCATGTTGGCCAGGCTGGTCTTGAATGCCTGACCCCAAGTGATCTGCCTGCCTCATCCTCCCAAAGTGCTGGGATTACAGACGTGAGCCACCACACGAGGCTGAGGCTCTGTTTCTTTTGAAAAGAAGGAGGAGCAGGAGGAGGAGGCGGCAGCCACAGACACTCCGCTGGTACAGTTGAAGACCTGTTCTGGAAACTACCATGATGAATGTCTTAAAAAAAAATGGAAATATTTAACCCTGAGCCAAAAGATGTGTCTGTGTGATGTGTGTGAGTGCGTACATGTGTGAGACTGCATACTTGTGTGTGCATGTATTTGTGTGGTGTGGTGTACGTGTGTGTGAAGGGGAGTGAAGGCCCCAGAAGGTGGCCCTGGGACAAAGCAATCCTTCCACTCGTCCCCAGCAAGATACAGCCACGCAATTTGGAGCACAGCAGAGCCCACCCCTGAAGTCTGGGCCTAGCTTGCGGGTGGGGTTAGCAATAGCTAACACAAAAACTTCCGGATGGCAAACCTCCCCTGGCCACCTGACTGCTATTTCCAACATTATCTGATGTAATGCAGTTCAAGACCATTCACCCGTCTTTGTCAAACTTCTGACCATGACCCACACTAAGGTTAGTTACATGGCTGCCAAGGGGGTAGGAACACAGGCTAGGTAACAAGAGTTTAGACTCAGCCTGATTGTGCAGGGTGTGCTCTGAGCTGTCCCAGTCCGCTGCGTTTGTGGGGGTGACCCACTAAATTGATTTTGTGACCCACTTGTGGATTCCACTGCAGCTTGGAGCTGCAGTCTCCTTGCACGTGGAAAATCACTCCGTCCACGGAAGTGGGGGGACCTCCCGGCAGCAGGCCCCAGCCTCAGTGAGGATCACCAAGTGCCACCAGGCCCCCACCCAACCCCGCTAAGGAGGAGGAAGCAGACGTCCCTGACCATCTTTAAAGAAACGGGGGCGTCACGGCGGGCCCACTCAGGTCAAGGCTGGCAACCACTGGTCCACCCGTCTAAGACACAAGGTGAGGCTGGGCCATTCCCTGCAAGGGCGTGGTGGTCCCTTAGGGCTTGCCCAGGGGCGCCCGCGCGCTTTGGGATCTTTGCACCAGGAGGATGAGCCTGTCGAAGTCGGAGAGCGTGGGGAACGCGGCCATCACGCGGTCCACGTGGTCGCGCGGAAAGACGCTGTAGAGAGCGAGGCGAGCCAGGGCGCGCGCGTCCCCCTCGCCGTCCTCTGCAGAGTACCCTGAGAGTCCCCCAGTAGCGCCATCGCCCCAGGCCGGCTCCGCCCAAGCCAAGCACCCCGGGAAGCGGTCGGAGCTGGGCGGACGGGCCCATGGGTCGTCGGGCGGCCTGAGCCGGGGCAGCAGATCCCCGTGCAGATCCCTGGGGCGGTGTTCGCCCCGCGGTTGGAGCTGCAGACCGGGCGGGGGCGGGAGGTCGCCCAGGGAGAACGGGTTCTGAGGGCCAGGGAGGCCGGGTGGGCCTGGCCCCGGCGCCCCAAGGCTGGGCAGCTCGGAGGTGGCAGCGCCGCCGGCCCGCGAAGACGGCGAGACCCGGGGCACCCGGCCACCAGCGGACACCCAGTCGGGCCCGCCCAGTCGGGGCGCGAGGCCGCAGGCAGGGCTCGAAGGAGGCGGCCCCAGGGGCCCCGGGTCGTCGCTGAAGGCCAGGCGAGAGAAGCTCCCCCGCAGGGCAGCCAGGTCCAGGGATCCCCGCGCTGGCGGGAGGCTGTGAGCAATCGGCTCCCGGGGGACCGCCCGGGCTTCTGCAGGGCCGCCTGGGGCGCTCGGAGGCCGCTGCTCCTCGGTGCCAGCGCCAGGCCGGGCCCCAGTCTTGGCGCGGAGCTCGTCGGCCACCGCCAGCTGCGCGTGGTGCGGCCTCTCCGGGTGGTAGAACTTGCACTTGATGCCGTAGGTGCATTTCTTGCCTGAAAGGGGCAGGGGCAGAGAGGGCGCGGCGTGAGGCGGGGGGCGCAGAGGGGCGGTGCTGCCTGGTGCCTCTAGGGAGTGCCCGCCCGTGGCCTCTCGGGGGAGAGTCCTTCAGCAGGCCCCCAGGCCGCCCCGGACTCCAGACTTAGCGCCCTGGAAACGCCTCAGGATCTGGGCGCGGGGCCGACAGTGGGAGAAGTGCCTGGGGGGGGCGGGCGGCCTGGGCGAAGGCCGCTGGGCACACTAATCCCAAGGTCCGCAGAGGAGTGTCGGTCGCAGGCCCCTTTGACCAGAGACTAAGACCAAATCTCTGGATTCAAAGACTTTCAGCCTCCACTTCCCCAGGGACCCCGTGGATAGGGCCAGGCTTAGGGAGAGGGCGGTAGGGCTTGGGTGCTCAGGGCATAGGGCTGCGCCTGCAGTGCCGCCTCAGTCCCCAGCGTTCTCCATGTTCCCTGTGCTAACCCTTGCCCTCTCCCTGCCCGCTGTTCTAACAGAGTCCTGAACAAATGATCAAGTATTACCATCCAAACCCAGGGCTTCTGAGAGTGAAATGGGGCAGGAGGAGCCAGCCTGAATGTATGTATGGTCACCTAATTCTAAAAAGAAATGACTGAATGTCACCCAAGTCTTTACTGAACTTGAAGACATCAAATAACTTGGTGAAGCAAGTCAGTGAAAGAGATGGCTAGAAGGCTGGCATCCCCCAGGGTGCTAGGGTAAATGCTTAACTCTTCATGGATAGCAGTGACCACAGTCCATAAGTGGAAGGGTGGGGAGCTGGGCAGAGTGAGGACAGAAGCTGCCAGGGGCCAGGTAAAGCGACTGAGACCCAGAGCTGGGTGTGCGTCCAGCCTCCCCATTTTTCAGACACAACTTTGCTATGTGAGAGACCCCTGCATCTGACCCTGGCAAGGGACCCTCACCCCCATGCCAACACCAGCCAGGATGTCAGTTCTACAATAACCCTGTCAGGAAAGTTAACTCTCCAGGGTGGCACAGCTGGAGGGCAGAATTCAGGCAAGCACCCGGGCTGCTGAGCCCAGGCCAGCGCTTTTGTCTGTGCTTCTGTACTGCCCCCACACGAGGCCCTGAACAGCGCTGGCGAAGCACTGAGCCTCACTCACCATAGGGACAATGCTGCCAGGATGGCTCTGGGGGCTTCGGCTTCCTGCTCAGGAAGTTGCTCAGGGTGGGTCCGTGGCGGCCCAGGGGGTCATCAGGAGGCATGAACCTGGAAAATAAGCACAGAGGCAACTGCAAGACCACTTGGGATTTGGCACCAACACCTGTACAAAAGGAGCAGGCCCAAGCTCCCTGAGAGCACCAGGAAGCATTCGGCCCGGACCCACCATCACCCAGAGGATGTCACAGCATCTTCAAGCAAACCTCCCCTTCACACTGAACCCCATGCAGAGCACACAGCACAGCTCTGGGCCTCTTCGGGTGTTTCTCCTGCTGTGATTCAAGCCAGTAGTGTCAGAATCACCTAGCAACTTAAAAATGCAATCAGCTGAGTGCAGTGGTTCACATGGGTAGTCCCAACACTTTGGGAAGGATCCCTTGAGCTCAGGAGTTCAAGACCAGCTTGGGCAACATAGTGAAACCTTGTCTCTATAAAAAGTTTTTAAAAAGAGGCATGGCACGGTGGCTCATGCCTGTAATCCCAGCCCTTAGGGAGTCCGACGCAGGCAGATCACCTGAGGTCAGGAGTTTGAAACCAGCCTGGCCAACATCTCTACTAAAAATACAAAAAATTAGCTGGGCGTGGTGGTGGGTGCCTGTAATCCCAGCTACTCCAGAGGCTGAGGCAGGAGAATCGCTTGAACCCGGGAGGCGGAGGTTGCAGTGAGCCACTATCGTGCCATTGCACACCAGCCTGGGTAACAAAAATGAAGCTCTGTCTAAAAACATAATAATGAAAGATAATCAGCCAGGTGTGGTAGTGAATGTCTTTAGACCCAGCTACTCGGGAGGCTGAGGTGGGAGGATGGCTGAGCCTGGGAGATGGAGGCTGCAGTGAGTCATGCTCATGTCACTGTACTCCAGCCTAGATGACAGAGTGAGATCCTGGCAAAAAAAGATCTCATAAATAAATAAATAAATAAATAAATCTACATAAATAAATAAATTAAATTAAAAACGCAGTCTCAGAGCTTCATGCAAGACCTGCTCCATCAGAATCTGAAGTTGTTCAGGAATCTGCATTTGAAGAACTTCCCAGGTGATTTTTACCCAGGAAAATGGAAGCGTAATTGCTCTAAGGGCTCCTCTGGCTCCCCATTGTCCTCAACAAAAGGTTACAAACCTCTATGAGGTTAACAAGCAGTTCCAGAAAAGCTGGGTGTGGTGTCCTGTGCCTGCAGTCCCAGCTACTAGGAGGGAGGAGGGAGGATCCCTGGAGGCCAGGAGTCCACCCAGGACAACTCTATCTCTAAATAAACAAACCAAAAACCCAGTTCCAGAAGTTTCCGAGTTGTATGGGCTCCTTGAGACTTAGATTTCATTTCTCCTGTGTTTCACCGGGTGCCAAACACAGCTCTGGGCTGTGAACCTCCAGGCGAAGAGGTTCAGTGGGAACAGGGAGTTTGGATCAGTGAGGAAGGTGCTGCCTGCACACACAGCCTCCTCGCTGACTTAACCCCCTCCTCTGCAAACCCTGGGGGCACAGGGTCTGGTCTGTTTCCAGGGCTGCCCTGCCCCCGACCTGCCCTTCACTCCTCCCTGGCTTGAAGCCCTAATGAGGAAGGGAATGCATGCTCAACAGGGAAAATCCAATTCCTCAGAAGGAAAACACCCCTCGCTGGGTTAGGTCCACTTTTTATATGAATGCTTTTGTTTCCAGAGACACTTCCAGGTTCTGCAGAGAGGTTGGGATTCTAAATCGGGGAGGAGATGATTTTATGGGTGGCTGTCCCCCTAAAAGTCCAGAGTCATGCTGAAGTCTCACTCTGCAGGGAGCTGGATGATCTCTGGCCCTGTGTCACCTCCGCAGCTCAGCTCCCAGCTGCACTTCTCAGAGTTGGGCCTTGACCAAGAATCTGGGGAACCGCCCACTGTGGTTATTAAAAGTTCTCAAAGACTTCCTCTCCTGCTCTCTCAGGAGTAGGAACTGTGCCAAGAGGGCCCTGTGGACGTGCCCAAGGCACCAGGACAGGCGCCCTCGTTCACAAGTGGGCGGCAGGCCCTGCCTTCTGGCAGGCCCGTAACAGAGGCCAGTGCATCAAAAGGACTTGGCCCTGGCCCCAAGCTGTCATCAGGCCAGAGATGGCCATGCCCCTGAGAGCACAGTGAGGTTTTCTGGAGCCCACAGTTACCAGACCAGCCATTGACTCCAGGCCGCAGCTGGACAGTGACAGCCACTGGCCTTTTGCAGCTGAAATGACAATGGGGCTCCTGCAGGGCACTGCTGCCATACCTCTGCCCCTCCACCTCCAGGGCTGCACAAGCGGTTGGCTGTGGGGACCTCAGTACCCCCTGGGGCACCATGTCCTAAGAGCAGCTGCTACCACTCCTGGAGCACAATTCTCTCTGGTCCTCACAATGATCTCAGAGGTGCTATTATTATTCATCCCTTTTCCAAGTGAAGAACATTCAGCTCAGAGAGGTTGAGTGGTTCCCCCTGGACCCCCAGTCAGTAAGTGACAGAACCTCAGATGGAAACCTCACCTGCCTGCTCCAAAGCCCCAATTCCTTCTCAAACATCACACTGTGTCCCTGGATCAGAAGTCAGGAGCTGCTTGGCCATGTGCAGGCAGCCTGAGCCCAGACCCCTCTCCCCATCCCCCTTCCCCGGGCCACAGCCATTCACTTGGGAGTTCCTCTACAACTAGTAATTGCACGCCTGTGGGCCAGGCAGGATGGGGGCACCGCACATAAGACACACAGTCCCTGCCCCCACAGAGCTCAGGAGTTTGTCTCAAACTACGTTCCGAAAAGTCAGTCAGAGGGCCCAGAATGAGGGCCAGGCTAATGCTGCCTGGAATAGGAGTGGACATGGGAGCAGCAGCTCCGCTGGCTGTGCTCTGTCACACACTGTTCTGGTCTCCAGACCCTCTCTCCTCGCCAGGGTCTGCCCTTGCCCCCTGCTGAGCGGTTTGTACCTGTGGCCATGGTGTCCTGCTCTGCCCCCAGCCATAGCCAGTTGGTCTAGGATGAACTGACGCAAGGGGACTATTTCAGGGCTCCATGAACCAGCCAGGTTCTCTTGAACATTTCAACCCAGAGGTATGGAGACAGTCAGGGCCAGGGCAGGTGGAGATCTTTACAGCCCAAAAGAAAAAATTCTGGGCAGGACTCAGTGGCTCACACCTAAAATCTCAACACTTTGGGAGGCTGAGGCAGGAGGATCGCTTGACCCCAGGTGTTCGAGGCTGCAGTGAGCCGTGACCATGCCCCTGCCCTCCAACCGGTGCAACAGAGCAAGACCCTGTCTCAGAAAAAAAAAAAAAAAAAAATTCCATCGCCCACTCCCATATGTAATTTAAAACTTTTTTTAAAAAAAGACAAAAACCTGAAATAAGTGAAAGGCAAAACAGGTTTTGTCCAAGATGACTATTTCAATGCCCTGAAGCATGCCATTTTGTTTTTTGGAGGTGCTGATGCCCTGAGCACATGCTTCCATGCCTGGCCCACCACTTGGGCATCTCTGTGGTGAGTCAGATGTGGCCCTGGGAACAGTTAAGGTCAGGGCAAAGCAGCTCCCCTACTGGGGAAGGCACCTGCGGAGAAAGCAGGCCTGGGGGAGCTCTGTCTGCGGGGTTGGGTGACCCCAAGCCCCACTGCCTGGAAGCCGCGTCGCCTCTGCCCCGCCCCCGGCCTCACTGTCAGGACCCCCGCCGGCCGTACCGGTCGTTGACGAAGGAGAACATGAGCAGCCTCTGCTCGATGAACCACTTCCACTCGGGGTTCTCGCTCTGCAGGTCCCGGTAGTTGTCGTTGGAGACGATGACGCCGTCCTGCTCGTAGGCCACCTTCACGATGTAGCGGTCGTCGTAGCAGACCAGGCGCTTCCCGTGCACCTTGCGGGACGGCGTGTACACCAGCACCGCCTGCCGCTCCAGCTCCGCCAGCACGTGCTGCTCTGCGAGCGGGCGGCGGGGACGGGTGAGGGCCTGAGGGCACCGCCCCTGAGAACCATCCCCAACGCGAGGCCACCCACCTTCACACCCATTTCCCCGCCGGTCAGATGAGGGCCAGGAAGATTTTCAGGGGAGGAAGAAAAAGACACCAGATTTTCCTGCTCTAACGTTCACTTCTTTCACTCAGTTTCACTCAGTTTGCCTGAAGCCCCAGATCAAGCGGGTGGATGGCTTCTGTCCTGCCTATGTCATGACAGGAGTCCAGAAAGTGGTACTCTACAAGGCAGAGTCACTTAGAAGGAGGGTCTCAGCCACAGTCCTTGTCCTTTTGAGGGTTCCATGCCACAGTGCCCCTACCACAGCAGGCAAATGGGCCTCCTGGAGAAAGACATTCCGATATTAACTGGGACCTTGGTGATGCCTGCAGCATGACGGGGAGCCCTGCATCCACCTGGAAGGCCTGCATGGGCCCCTAGCAGGGAGCCAGGGGTCCATCTTCTCCCAACATAGGGAAATCTGCCTGGGACACTTTGGGGATGGAGCACCCCGTCACAGACAGATGCAGGGACTCAAGAATATCATAGAAAGCATCCAGGACTAGGAATCCAGCCTGGAGTCTTGGCCAGGCTCCAGTTCCTGGGTACTTCACCCCGGTTTAATGTCCGTATTCATAAAATGAAGATACCAATACCTCCTCTTCCTGTCTCACAGTGTTTATGAGTGGACTGAGCTCAAGTTAGTGAGCGTTCTTGCAAAAACTAGTCAAGAGGTAAACAGATACCACATGGTACAAACATTACAAGGCCTTTCTTATCCGAGGCTAAACTCTGCATCCAGGAAGGTCAGCTGTTTGATCTTAATTTTGCCGTTAGAGACATGCAGAAAAAAAAAAAAATCTCTTTGTCATGTAATAGTTACTGAGGTCCCTCAAATTTAAGTCCTTTCCCATATGACACAGATTGCTGTTTTTTTATTTATTTATTTATTTTTAATCAGAGTCTCGCTCTGTGGCCCAGACTGGAGTTCCGTGGCACGATCTCGGCTCACTGCAACCTCCACCTCCCCGGTTCAAGTGATTCTCCTGCCTCAGCCTCCCCAGTAGCTGGGACTACAGGCTCACACCACCACACTCAACTAATTTTTTTGTATTTTTAGTAGAGACGGGATTTCACCTGTGCTAGCCAGGATGGTCTCCATCTCCTGACCTCATGATCCACTGGCCTCAGCCTCCCAAAGTGCTGGGATTATAAGTGTGAGCCACCTCACCCTGCCCAGTTTGCTGATTTTTTTAAAGGTGCATAATGAGGCCAGGCGAGGTGGTTCATGCCTATAATCTCAGCACTTTGGGAGGACGATACAGGCAGATCACCTGAGGTTGGGAGTTCGAGACCAGCCTGACCAACATGGAGAAACCTTCTACTAAAAATACAAAATTAGCCAGGCGTGGTGGGCATGCCTGTAATCCCAGATACTCGGGAAGCTGAGGCACGAAAATCGCTTGAACCTAGGAGGTGGAGGGTGCAGTGAGCCAAGATGGCATCATTGCACTCCAGCCTGGGCAACAAAAGTGAAACTCCGTCTCAAAAAAAAACAAAAAAGTGCATAATGCGTCTATGGTACAAAGAACAAAAATAAAGATGCCACATACGCAGCATCTCCTTCGAGAAAGAGGAGGTGGCCCATGTTTGGAAGTCCCCTCTGCCCCCTCAGTCTGCAATCCTCTCCATTTCCCTTAAGACTTTAGGACAACCCTAGTTTTAGAACTCTGAGTTTATAAAATGTCCTTGCTTTTATTATTTAAAATACAGATTATGAGAATCATTTTCTTTCTCACCCCCTGCCCCGCCCCAAGACGGTGTCTTACTCTGCCACCCAGGCTGGAGTACAGTGGCCTGATCTTGGCTGACTGCAACCTCTGCCTCCCGGGTTCAGCAATTCTCCTGCCTCAGCCTCCTGAGTAGCTGTGATTGCTGGCAAATGCCACTATGCCAGCTAATTTTTTGGTATTTTTGGTAGAGACAAGGTTTTACCATTGTCTCATGTTGGCCAGTCTGGTCTCAAACTCCTGACCTTGTGATTCATCCTCTTCAGCCTCCCAAAATGCTGGGATTACAGGCGTGAGCCATCGTGCCTGACCTCTTTTTCTTTCTTTTTTTTTTTTTTTTTTTTGAGACAAGATCTCACTGTGTCGCCTGGGCTGGAGTGCGTTAGCACAATCATGGCTCACTGCAGCTTTTACCTTCCAGGCTCAGGTAATCCTCTTACCTTAGGTAATCCTCTCGTGTAGCTCCGACTACAGGCGTGCACCACCACACTCAGCTAATTTTTGTATTTTTTGTAAAGACGAAGTTTCGCCATGTTGCTCAAGCTAGTGTCAAACTTCTAGACTCAAGTATCCACCCATCTCAATCTCCCAAAGTGCTGGGATTACAGGCGTGAGTTGCCATGCCCAGCTGAGGATCATTTTCAGTATAGTTACCCATTGGATTTTACACAAATGGAATGATACTATACATATGCTTAAGTGGCTTGTCTTTTTTGCTCATCATTGTGTTTGTGAGGTTTGGTTATGTCATGTGTTCATCACTGTTAGTCTTGCATGAAAGCCCCTGGCACAGAAGAGGCAAGGGCATCTTCAGGGTGTATCTCCAAGAGTGAATACGGCTGAGCTATATGGAAGGCACTTTACAAGATAATGCCAAATTGTTTTCCAAAGTGGTGATGCCAAGTTACATACCCAAAACAACATATAAGACAACCTTGCCAACACTTGGCATTTTCAGGCTTTTGAATTTTTGCCAACCTGGTGGGTACAAAATGGCCTCCTACTATGGTTTTATTTTGCATTTCTCTGGTGCTAATGAGATTGAGCATCTTTTTATGTGTTTGTATGTTTATGTGGCCATGTATGTTTTCTTTTCTGTAAACAGCCTATTTGTGCTTTAGTGCATCTTTCTGTTGATTCATTGTTTTTGTTCCATTGATCTGGAGAAGATCTCTCTAGATCTAGGCAGTAATCCCTCATCAGTAATGTGTGATATATAACCCATCCCCACACTCTCACCCCAGTTTGAGTCTTGTCTTTTCACTTGTTTGTTTTTGTGGTATCTGTTAATAATAAAAGCTTTTATTTGGCCGGGCGCGGTGGCTCAAGCCTATAATCCCAGCACTTTGGGAGGCCGAGGCAGGTGGATCACGAGGTCAAGAGATCGAGACCATCCTGGTCAACATGGTGAAACCCTGTCTCTACTAAAAATACAAAAAAATTAGCTGGGCATGGTGGTGCGTGCCTGTAATCCCAGCTACTCAGGAGGCTGAGGCAGGACAATTGCCTGAACCCAGGAGGCGGAGGTTGCGGTGAGCCAAGATCGCGCCATTGCACTCCAGCCTGGGTAACAAGAGCGAAACTCTGTCTCAAAAAAAAAAAAAAAAACTTTTATTTTAGTATAGTCAAATTTATTCATCTTTTCTTGTAAGTCTGCACTTGTGGCTTATTTAAAAATTCCTTCCCGGCCGGGCGCGGTGGCTCAAGCCTGTAATCCCAGCACTTTGGGAGGCCGAGGCGGGTGGATCACGAGGTCGAGAGATCGAGACCATCCTGGTCAACATGGTGAAACCCCGTCTCTACTAAAAGTGCAAAAAATTAGCTGGGCATGGTGGCACGTGCCTGTAATCCCAGCTACTCAGGAGGCTGAGGAAGGAGAATTGCCTGAACCCAGGAGGCGGAGGTTACAATGAGCCGAGATCGTGCCATTGCACTCCAGCCTGGGTAACGAGTGAAACTCTGTCTCAAAAAAAAAAAAAAAAAAAAAAAATTCCTTCCCTACCCCAAAGTAATTTCTCTACTTGTTCCCATATTATATTTAAGTATTACACTACTATTGAAATTCACCATTCTTGGGCCAGGCACAGTGGCTCATGTCTTTAATCCCAGCACTTTGGGAGGCTGAGGCAGGTGGATCACCTTAGGTCAGGGGTTCCAAACCAGCCTGGTGAAACCCTGTCTCTACTAAAAATACAAAAATTAGCCAAGTGTGGTGACACGTGCCTGTAATCCCAGCTACTCAGGAGGCAGAGGCAGGAAAATCACTTGAACCTGGGAGGTAAAGGTTGCAGTGAGCCAAGATCACGCCACTGCATTCCAGCCTGGGTGACAGAGTGAGACTCTGTCAAAAAAAAAAAAAGAAAAAGAAAAAGAAATTCGCCATTCTTCATATTCAGACCATAAAGAATAATTTGGAGCAACCAGTTCATGACGGGAACTGCACACAAGTATTTATCCTCCCTCCTTCTCATAGTCCCAGTGTAATGTAAGGTGAGGCAGAGGGCAGAATCTATAATCACATTAAAATTAGGTTTGGGGACATCAGCAAACCCAGGATTTTGGCATATTTTAGGAAGACAGAAAGCAGAGAGGATCATATTGATTTTGCAGCGTGGAGGGAAGCATGGCCTAGAATGTGCACAGAAGGCTGGAGCGGAGGTGGGAGCCATTTCCCTGCAGTCTTGGAGCACTCCAGGCGGTGGAGATGGAGTGGAAGTCAGGTGAAGTCGGGGTGACTAACCAACAGGTGAGCTACTCCCGGGCAGCTGCTCCGGATTATAGCCATAGGGATGGGAAATGAGTGGCATGAACCGCCCCTCATTTCCCATCCCTGTCACTATAAAGAAAGTGAAGACACCACCAGGAAGGAGGAAACCTCCCCTGGGGCTGTTGTCCTCCTAGAATAAAACCATCATCATTCTGCCATTGGAATAAGTGGTGGGCAGAGGCGCCAGGCTGCCTGCCTCCTCCATGCCGGGTACGCTAAAATGAAAACTGCCAGTCAACTCAAATGGCCTGCACTGCCATTGAGGGAGAAGTTCTCATGCTAGGAGAGAAAACTCATGGCAATTGCACTGCATAACTATGTTTCAGACCACATACGTGACAGTGGTCCCATATAACTGTAACAGAGTTGAAAATCCCTATCATCGTAGCCGTCCTGACCTTGTAGTGTGACACATGACTCACGTGTCCGAGGCAATGCTGGTTGAAACGCCCTACTGTGCTGCCAGTTGTGTCAAAGTCTAGCACATGCCATTATGTCGAGTACAAAACACTTGATCGTAATAATAAAGAGCTTTGCATCTGATCCCTTCTTACCAGTGAGCATCCCTAATCCGAAAATCCGACCAACATGATGTTCAAAGGAGATGTTCATGGGAGCATTTTGGATTTGGGATTTTTGGATTAGGAATGCTCAGCAGTAAGCAAAATAAAAATATTCAGAAATTCAAAACCCTTCTGGTCCCAAGTATTTCAGACAAAGGATGCTCAACCTGTATACGAAGCCAAACAACAAACAAGACATTTTTTGTTGAAACCGCAGTGTTCTGACCATGCGTGGTGGCTCATGCCTATAATCCAGGCGTCCCCAAACTACGGTCCGCGGGCCACATGCGGCCCCCTGAGGCCATTTATCCGACCCCCCGCCGCACTTCAGGAAGGGGCACCTCCTTCATTGGTGGTCAGTGAGAGGAGCACAGTATGTGGCGGCCCTCCAGGGGTCTGAGGGACAGTGAACTGGCCCCCTGTGTAAAAAGTTTGGGGATGCCTGCTATAATCCTAGCACTGTGGGAGGCCGAGGCAGAGGGATTGCTTAGGCCCAGAAGTTAAATACCAGCCTGGGCAACATGGCGAAATCCCATCTCTACAAATAATGCAAAAACTAGCCAGGGCCGGGTGCAGTGGCTGGTGCCTGTAATCCCAGCACTTTTGGAGGCTGAGGCGGGTGGATCACCTGAGGTGAGGAGTTCACGACCAACCTGTCCAACATAGTGAAAACCCATCTCTACTAAAAATACAAATATTATCTGGGCATGGTGGCATGTTCCTGCAGTTCCAGCTACTCAGGAGGCTGAAGCAGGAGAATTGATTGAACCTGGGAGGCAGAGGTTGCAGTGAGCCGAGATTTCACCACTGCACTCCAGCCTGGGTAACAAGAGTGAAACTCTGTCAAAAAAATAAAATAAAATAAAATACCAGCCAAGTATGGTGGTGTGCACCTATAGTCCCAGCTACTGAGAAGGCTGAGGTAAGAGGATCTCCTGAGCCAGGGGAAAGCAAGGCTGCAATGAGCCGTAACAGCACCACTGCACTCCAGCCTGGACTACTACGTGAGCCTCAAAAATAAATAAATAAACAAATAAAACTGCAGTGTTCTAATACTTGTAGCTTAAAATATTCCTGATTTAATAATTAAAAATGAAAAAGCCGGGCGCAGTGGCTCATGCCTGTAATCCCATCACTTTGGGAGGCTGAGGCGGGCAGATCACGAGGTCAAGAGATCGAGACAATCCTGGCCAACATGGTAAAACCCCATCTCTACTAAAAATACAAAAATTATCTGGGTGTGGTGGCGCATGCCTGTAGTTCCAGCTACTGGAGAGGCTGAGGCAGGAGAATCGCTTGAACCCAGGAGGCGGAGGTTACAGTGAGCTGAGATCCCATCACTGTACTCCAGCCTGGACAACAGAACAAGACTCCTCTCAAAAAAAAAAAAAAAAAAAAATTCCCTAAGTCTCAGTTGTCGTCTTCTTTTTAAATAAAGAGATTAGATGAGGTATTCAGTAAATAAATATTACCTGATCAAATAAATGCCTCTTTCAAATCCTATAAGCTATTAGGAGTGGAATACAGATCCAGTCCCTCGTCAGGTGTTAAAAGTTGTCAGGCACAATTATTTTGAGACTTTATTATTCACACTAAAAGAGTAATTTATTCATTCATCTACTCAACAATTGCTCATCGAACACCTAACTTTGAACTACCTCTTGAATACCAGGTGTTACACTAGGTGCTGGGTGCTAGGGCAATGGCATTGAACATTCATAATCGGAGCCTTCATGGAGCTTATAGCATAGTGAGGAGGACAAACATCAAGTAGAATTTGACTGTGGATTTTAAGAGTGCCCCAAGGAAGTGTGCCTAGTGCCTCCCAAGCACACATCTGCTCCAGCATACCTCTGATAGGAGTGTCAGCTCTTGGTGGGTCCTTCCTCCAGGAAGGAACAAAAACTTTGATGTAGGTGTGTCCTCTGTCCCTGAACCAGTCCACAGCCAGCTTGATTCCCCGGCAAGAGAAGGTTTCTTTATTTCCATGGCTACAACAGGAAAACAAAGAAATCTGTAGAGACACTGCAAGTGTTCCTAAGAGTAGGGGAAATTCCCCTTTAAATTTCCTGGATCATAGTCTCATAATCAAGAGGGGACCAAGAAAATCTGCATTTTAGGCCAGGCACAGTGGCTCACACTTGTAATCCCATCACTTTAGGAGGCTGAGGCAGGTGGATCACTTGAGGTCAGGAGTTTGAGACCAGCCTGGCCAACATGGTGAAACCTCATCTCTATGAAAAATACAAAAATTAGCCAAGTGTGGTGGTATGCACCTGTAATCGCAGCTACTCTGGAGGCTGGGGAAGGCGAATCACTTGAACCTGAGAGGTGGAAGATGCAGAGAGCCGAGATCCCACCACAGCACTCCAGCCTGGGCAACAGAGGAAGACTCTGTCTCAAAACACACACACACACACACACACACACACACACACACACACACACACACACAAATCGAAAATCTACATTTTAAAGATAGTTCATTCTTTCATTCACAAACAATATCCATCAACAAGAACCACATAGTTTGTGATGGGTATGTAGAGCCTTGGGCTCTGTGATGGATAATATTGAGTGTCAACTTGATTTGGATTGAAGGATGCAAAGCATCGTTCCTGGGCCTGTGAGGGTGTTGCCAAAGGAGATTAACATCTGAATCAGTGAACTGGGAGAAGCCAACCCACCCTCATTCTGGGTGGGCATCATCTAATCAGCTGCCAGCATGGCTAGAATAAAGCAGGCAGAAAAAGTAGAATGAGCATACTTGCTGAGTCTCTTGGCCTCCATCTTTCTCCCATGCTGGATGCTTCTTCCTGCCCTTGAACATCAGACTCCAAGCTCTTCAGCTTTTGGACTCTTGGACCTACACCAGTGGTTTGCCAGGGGCTCTTCAGCCTTCAGCGACAGACTGAAGGCTGCACTGTCAGCTTCTCTACTTTTGGGGTTTTGGGACTTGGACTGGCTTCCTTGCTCCTCAGCTTACAGATGGCCTATTATGGGACCTTGTGATTGTGTGAGTCAATACTGCTTAATAAACTCCCTTCATATATACATCTATCCTATTAGTTCTCCCCTCCAGAGAATCCTAATACAGGCTCCAAGGAGAACACATTCTGAGGACCAACAGACAAGGCCTTCTCTTTAACTGAAGCTAAGAAAGATCAACATAAAACCGTTAGGAGTAGCCATCTACAGAATCACTCTCATCCTGAGAGATGCTTGTAAATATGTTATTGCATTTCCCAAGCCCAAGGCAAAAGGCCAATGCCCCTCAGATTCCACTAAAGACATCAGTGGAGGCAATAAAGAGAGAGTGATGTGAGATCAGGCAGGGCCTTGCAGACATCATGGAAGATTCCTTTCTTCCTCTTAAGAAGAATTAAAAGCCATAGAATAATTTTAAGATTGGAAGTAGCTGTGATGTGATGTGATGTGATGTGATGTGATGTGATGTGATGTGATGTGATGTGATGTGATGTGATGTGATGTGATGATGTGATGTGATGTGATGTGATGTGATGTGATGTGATGTGATGTGATGATGTGATGTGATGTGATGATGTGATGTGATGTGATGTGATGATGTGATATGATGCGATGTGGTGATGTGATGTGATGTGATGATGTGATGATGTGATGTGATGATGTGATGTGATGTGATGTGATGATGTGATGTGATGTGATGTGATGATGTGATGTGATGTGATGTGATGATGTGATGTGATGTGATGTGATGTGATGTGATGATGTGATGTGATGTGATGTGATGATGTGATGTGATGATGTGATGTGATGTGATGTGATGATGTGATGATGTGATGTGATGTGATGATGTGATGTGATGTGATGATGTGATGTGATGTGATGTGATGTGGTGATGTGATGTGATGTGATGATGTGATGTGATGTGATGTGATGATGTGATATGATGTGATGTGGTGATGTGATGTGATGTGATGATGTGATGTGATGTGATGATGTGATGATGTGATGTGATGTGATGATGTGATGTGATGTGATGTGATGATGTGATGTGATGTGATGTGATGTGATGTGATGTGATGATGTGATGTGATGTGATATGATGTTATTGATGTATGATTCAAAAAGCCCAATTTGGCAGCACAGAGGACAGTAAATTGGAAGAAAGCAAAAGCAGACGTAAGGTACCAGTTCAAAATCTGTTATTATTGAAGCAGAAAATGGCTGGGCACTGTGGCTCACACATGTAATCCCAGCACTTTGGGAGGCTGAGGCAGGCAGATCACGAGGTCAAGAGTTAGAGACAAGCCTGACCAACGTAGTGAAACCCGTCTCTACTAAAAATACAAAAATTAGCCAGGCATCGTGGCAGGTACCTGTAATCCCAGCTACTCAGGAGGTTGAGGCAGGAGAATCACTTGAACTCGGGAGGCAGAGATATTGCAGTAAGCTGAGATTGTGTCATTGCACACCAGCTTGGGCAACAAAGTGAGACTCGGTCTCAAAAAAGAAAGCAAAAATTGACGGTAACTTGGACTAAGCTGGTGGTGGTGGATGAAGGAGAAGAGTAGGTGACCTTGAGAGATATTTAGAAGGTCAAATCTCAAAACTCAATGACTGATCGTATGTGAGAGTGATAGAGAAGAAGGCATCAGAGATGACTCAAGATCTCTGGCTTATGTAACAGGATGGCGGGCTATTCTGACACCAGGAATTCTGGAAGGGAACAGGGCTAGAGGGAAAGATCATGAGTTTTATTTTAGACACGTATTGAGCGGTTAACATTTCCACTTAGAGGAAATGTTAAGTTAACAGCTAGGGTTCAGAGGACAGTTCTGAATGATTAAAGCTGTAGGTCATCTCTGCGTAAGCAATAGCTGAAGCCACAGCATGGACAGAATTTCCGGCTCTCCTGGAGAGAAAGTGAGCGGCCTGGGCTGGACCTGGAGGAACTCTGAGACTTTGCAGCTGGTTCTAGGTAGAGGAGGGACTAGATCACAGGGGACTCAGGAGGCTCAGATCTGAGAAGCAGGAAGAAAAACAGGGGGTGCACATCAGGAAAGCTGAAGGAAAGGGCCGCCAAACACTGCTCTGAGTGGTGAAACCTGAAGACTCCCTCAGACTCAGTCAATGGGGTCAGTGGGGTTTTGCTGGAGGGAGACAGTGGATAGATTGGAGATACTGAGAAGGCAAAATCAATTTGACTTGTCCATGGACGAGACAGAGCCTGGCTTCAAATTAGATCACTCCCCTCCTCTTCAGTCTTAGCTTCAGATTAGATCACTCCCCTCCTCTTCGGTCTTAGCTTCATCCTCGCTTCTTCAGGAAGCATCCCTGACCCCCTAGACTCCATCAGATCCCTCTCACGAGCTCCCGCTGCACCCTCCTGCTCCTTCCTGGCACTGGGGAACGTTCACACCCATCCAGGGGGTCACCTGGGTCTCCCTTCTCTAAACCATGAGATCCTCTTGCTCATCACAGAATTCTCAGCACTCAACATTGTGCCTAATAATTGTAATGACTCAATTTAAAAGCTGTTGAATAAATGAATGGCTGAGAAGAAACTCAGCTGATAAGCAGCTGGAGGAGTAACCCAGGCAAAGGGGAGAGTTGACCGGAAAGATCCAAACGCAGGCGTGACTGACATGATCTAGGGACCAGAGACAGGTGTGTGGCTGGAGCACGAGGAATGAGCTCCAGCAACAGGTGGAGATCTGAGCCAGGAGGGAGAGGCAGAGATGAGTTCTCAGAGAGCCCAGGGCCGCCACGCCACTCATGCCCTATCCCGAGAAGCCTGGCAGCCAGCCCAGGAAAGACAAGGATAACACTTTGAACTTGCATGACTGTGCTCTCTTTGGTGTGCGAACTTTCCTGCTATTTTCTCAGGGCAGATTAGGACGATCACAGGTTTACATATGAAAAAGGAAGTCTTTAGAAATGCTCATCATGATTACTGGAAGTCAGGCTTTGTGGAGATACCAGAGAACTTCCTAAATTCCTTTAGCTCCAGTAACATATGAGGAACCAGTCCTCGCTGCCAACATCTAGGGTTTCCTCCAGTTTTAAGACGGTAAATATCTCAACTGGGCGCGGTGGCTCACACCTGTAATCCCAGCACTCTGGGAGGCTGAGGCAGGTGGATCACCTGAGGTCAGGAGTTCGAAACCCCATCTCTACTAAAAATACAAAAAATTAGCTGGGCATGGTGGCACAAGCCTGTAAGCCCAGCTACTTGAGAGGCTGACGCAGGAGAATTGCTTGAACCCAGGAGACAGAGGTTGCAGTGAACAGAGATCGAACCACTGCACTCCAGCCTTGGCGGCAGAGCGATACTCCGTCTCAAGGAAAAACGAAAACGAAAAGAAAGGAAGAAAAGAAATATTCCTTTCGCTATTGAGGCTGAGCTCTGAGGCTTGTACAGTGAGAAGAAAACATCAGTGGGGATATCTGTGGTACAAAGGAAGAGGAAGGGTGGGCGCAGTGGCTCACGCCTGTAATCCCAACACTTTGGGAGGCCAAAGCAGGCGGATCACGAGGTCAGGAGATCGAGACCATCCTGGCTAACAAGGTGAAACTCTGTCTTTAAAAAAAATTAGCCAGGTGTGGTGTCATGTGCCTATAGTCTCAGCTACTCAAGAGACTGAGGCAGGAAAATCACTTGAACTCAGGAGGCAGAGGTTGCAGTGAGCCGAGATCGTGCCGCTGCACTCCAGCCTAGGTGACAGAGCAAGACTCAATCTTAAAAAAAAAAGGAAGAAGAAGCAGATTGCTAGTCCCTTCCAGTCCAGCAGAAGCTGAAAAAGAGGGGAGATGGGAGGGGGAGGAGGTTCTCACCTGGCATCCCCACTCCGGCTCCATCCAGCCCAGCCATAGGAGACAGGGAGATGGAGGAACACCAAGACGCTGTGAAAAAGAGGCTGAAGCAGAGGCTGAACCTTTGTTTTTCAGCACAGCCTGGGTAGGTTGCAAGCCCCTCAGAGAAATGTGGTTTTTGCAGGGCCGCCTT